TGTACCATTGTGGAGCTCAAAGGCGTTCAGCACATGGCCATTGATTCTAACTCTAGCAACAGGGTTACGGTAGACGGCCTGAATATAAACACATATGCGGGGGAGAAGCCTCACTGAGTGCAATACTGAGGCCATATAATCCCAGGCCACTCTGTCGAATGCCTTTTTCACGTCCAAAGAATTAAAGAAACCTGGTTGTGATTGAGAAGTGAGCCAATGGTGTAGGTTCAAGGCTTTCGTGGTATTATCACACCCAAATCAGATGAGGAAGCAAAGGGAGCAATCTATTACCCCGGAATCTTTGCAAAGAGCTTGATGTCTACATTTAAGAGGGAGATCGGGTGGTAGTTCGTGACTTAGGTAACATCTTTGCCTTCTTTTGGAATGACTACTATGTGGGCCTCCAGGAGATTTGACTGGGTAGTGGATTGAGACGACAGGGACCTAAAAGCCTCGAGGAATTGGGGCTGAAGCACATCAGTAAAGGTAAATAAAAATCGGTAAACCACAAAATTTCTTAATGTGAAATAACATAAATCCCCTAGATGCACAAAAAGTCACACTTTCCCCCCAGAGAGTCCAAAAGTCAAAAAAACCTCCTCTGTGTCTGTGAATCTTCAAATTATAATGCATAAACTTGATCCATCTCCAAAACCCAATTCTTATGTGTCCTTGTGTACCTCAAAAAAGCAAAATACTGCATATAGTGCATTACCCTCATAACAAAATCAATATCAATGTGCACTTATGATCAAAAATTATAAAATTCATAAAAATCACCCAGTGTCCACTAAATATGGCTGAATAAAATACTCTTACCCTAAAATTAACTTTAAATAGTTTTATATCTCACTCCCCATAAGGATCCACTCATGGCCTATCCTACGGACTCATCATCATCATATAAGGGATACCTCCAAAAAAAAAGTATCATAGCGTGTCATCCTTTAAACATGTGATCAGTGCTCCCCTCTTCAACACCACTTAGTGAAACGTAAAATCACTCTCCACCACCTTCCAAACCATGCACCTTACCGAACTACAGATGTCCAATAGTATGAATAGATGTAGGATGGCTCCTCTTTACTCCATACTGATCCAATCTCCAATCCCAATAAGCATCATATCTAACATCAGATGTGCTGGAACTTCGATCACACGATCCTCTTGAGCTTTTTGACCTCACATGTACAATGCTTTGGTCACACCACGCTTGTGTCCTCTAAATGGGACAAAGTAAGATGCAGGTTCCCCTATCGGCACTCCTTCCCACAACAGGCTTTAAATATTGTCCACCTTCTCTTCCTTTCCCCAGTGATCGTGATCCATAAAAAACGGAATAAGCAGAAATGGTGCTGTCAGTTTAGAAAATCCTTTTTGCTGTTCACACTTTTTCGCTTCCATGTATAGACAACATCTTCTTGCCTTCAGATATCTCCAGTGGCACCAATCAATCTTCTACCTTCTCTAGAGAATGTATAGCTGCTGTCCTCTTACTCCTCTATCTCAGGAGCACATCCTGGTTCCTTCAAACTGCAGTTTGAAGTACAGGGGGGCCCCAGTATGCCTCGGACCCAGTTCAGGTCTGTAAGTATCGTATTGCAACTCACGGAGACATAGAGAACTGGGGGAAGGAGGTTAGGCTACAAAGAGTTCAGGCAAGCTGAAGAAAGAAATAGGGGACTATGGGAGAGAGCCCAGGCATCAGTGAGCTTCACCGGGGAGAGGAGTAGACTCTCCCCCGGCATTGCCGTTGGTCTCCATGAACTCGAAGTGAAAGATGAAAGGAAGAGGCCGGACATGCATAGCGGTGAGCTATGTATCCATGAGCCGTGAACAAACATGCACTGTGGAGCAGTTACACAAACAGTATATTACAGGAAAACAGCGTAACATAACAGAGCCAACAAAGTAAAAGGGAGGCATATAACTGCTTATGTCCTCCATGGGTCACGACAGATGTTATCACATGGGAAGTCGGAGGGCTATTACCAACAAGTTCTTGACCCCTGGAGTGCTACAGAACAGGTATCAAAGAGGAAGTCCCAAGGCCAGGTAAATACTTGCTAATGGTGTGTGTAGACCTCAGTATACGAGAAAGGTGGGGTTCCGTAATTCTGGAAAGTGTCCACACTTCAGAGTAAAGCAACCGTAGGACAGCTAGTCACTGTGGCGGGCTCTCCTGTGAGCAGGGGAGGCTGTCGGGCTTGGGTTATTCGGATCCCTGCAGTGTAGATAGGGAGTCGAAAGGTAGCGAGCGTTGACTCCAGGCATGAGGAGGGTGGCCTGGAGCTTCTCGTGGAGCAGACTGTTCCTGGACTAAGGGGCGAAATACGCTGTCCTACGCAGTCCAGTGTTGGGATATCCAGGCATTCACAGAAGTGGGATAAGTCCTCTGGGAAACAGAGCAGAGTTGTGCGTCCCATAGAGGTGGCTGATAGGCAGAAGGGGAATTTCCACCGATACAATATCTGCCTGGCTCTCAGAAGATCCAATAGAGGACGAAGATCTCTTTTATGTTGCAATGTAATGGTGGAGAGGTCTTGAAACTGTTGAAGCTCGATTCCATTGAAAGTGACACGCTGTCTGTTTCTAGCACTTTGCAGGAGCTCCTCTTTGGTAGCAAAACTCACCAAGCAGCAGATGACATTATTATTATTATTATTATTACATCGAGTTTATATAGCGCCAAAGGGTTTGCTCAGCGCTGTACAATAGGGGGGACAATACATGGCACAGTACAACACAAACAGACAGCGTACGAGGGGTAAGAGGGCCCTACTCTTTCAAGCTTACAATCTATGACATCTCTCGGAGGATCGCTATCCCTACCCTGGGGACACAGAGCAGGATGAATACGCTCCATTTCAATTGGGGACTCTGGGTCACGATCTAGCAGATTATTGAAGTTATGGAGGACTGATTTCGACAGCTGCTCTTGCTCCACTGATTTCGGCAGCCCCCTAAGGCGTAAGTTATGGTGGCGACCCGTTATGCAGATCTTCCAAGTGCCTCTGAAGATCTCTCATCTGCAGTTTATGAGAGTCAGCAACACATGCCATACGTTTAATGGATACCTCGTGATGTAAAGTGATGTTCCACCGTTTGCAGGCGGGTAGCCATCACAAGAATATCTTGGCGGAACTCTGTGATTACCGCTGACAGGGTGTTCTTTATGTGTGCAGCTATGACATGCAGGTCAGCCAGGCTAGGGGCTTGTGGAGCCATGGAAGAGGTGCTGGGAGGCTGAAGATGAATGTCCCTGTCTCTGCTCGAGCTACGACTCTCGGGGCTTGAGAGGCCTGGGATGCGGCCTATGGGTAAAACCAGAATTGCTGGGGGATATACTGGCGCAGCTGTGTCCCCGTTTCCCTGGGGGAGCGAGACCGTGAACTGGACCTACTCCGGGGGGTGACTTGTCTGGTGCAGGGATCCTCTCCCTGGTGGCGGGAGCTCCGGTCTCAGGTGGACATCTTGGACAAGGTGAGAACCACGCCCCCCCCACCGAATGGGCACTTATTATGCAGTGTCTGGTCTTACTTTTTTAGATTTAAAAGAGTACAGAATGCCTTAACGTTTCAAACCATAAAATGTCAGAAAATCTCGCTGAGTAGCATCAAGTTCAAGTTTGCTGCTGAGATAAACCAGCCCTCATTACCTACTGTAACTCATTCTGTGAGACTCAGTGAGAGTCAGTAGTGGCAGCCTTATATTACCAGACCTATACAAAATCACTATGCACTGTCTTATGCAACAGCCCTATTACTCAGCCCTCCGAAAATACTTTTTTGCTCAATCCTCTGCACTAATCTCTGTAAGAGTCCTATGCAAAGCCCTATGCACAGCCCTATGCAACAGTCCTGTGACGGACCGCCTGTCACCCCAGTTATTCTGTCAGAGAACTGCTTCCTGGTTGCTACGACACAGGACCAAGGTATTATAGCCGGGCATCGCACCCAAGACTAGGCGACACTAGCTTAGATGCCAGATTGGAGCTGTTTATTGAACAATCAGAAATAGGGCAGTCCCCACATGAACAATAAAACAAATATTACACATTGTGATAAAAATCACACACTGATTAGAAAAAGAGTTCAAGTTGGTACCTCCAGGGGCTAGCCAAAAGACAGAAACAATAACTGATTCAATTAACTCAATGAACAATGGGACAAGTACACAGTAAACACATCCCAGCTTAACCACTTGCCTACCAGGCACTTATACCCCCTTCCTTACCAGGCCAATTTTCAGCTTTCAGCGCTGCCGCACTTTGATTGACAATTGCGCGGTCATGCAACATTGTACCCATATGAAATTTTGATCATTTTTTTCTCACAAATAGAGCTTTCTTTTGGTGGTATTTAATCGCCACTGGGACGCTTTACTTTTTGCGCTATAAATTAAAAAAAGTGCAAAAAATTTGAAAAAAAAAAAAAAAAGTTTATTTGTTTCTTTTATAAAATTTTTCAAACAGGTATTTTTTCTCCTTCACTGATTTGCGTTGATGAGGCGGCACTGATGGGCACTGATAGGCGGCACTGATGGGCACTGATAGGCAGCACTAAAGGGCACTGATAGGCAGTACTAATGAGGTGGCACGGATAGGCGGCACTGATATGACAGCACTGATAGGGCGGCACTGATAGGTGGCACTGATATGGGTACTGATAGACGGCACTGACTGGCATCACTTGATGGGCACTGATGGCGGCACTGACTGGCACAACCCTGGGCACTGACTGGTGGCACTGACTGGCGGCACTGCTGGGCACTGACTGGTGGCACTGGTGGGCAGCACTGCTGGGCTGCACTGGTGGGTGGCACTGGTGGGCAGCACTGGTGGGTGGGCACAGGTGGGTGGCACAGGTGGGTGGCACTGGTGGGCACAAGTGGGTGGCACTGCTGGGCACATGTAGGTGGCACTTCAGAGTGGCACAGGTGGGGGCACTGCAGAGTGGCACAGGTGGGGGCACTGCTGGGCACAGGTGGGGGCACTGCTGGGCACAGGTGGGAGCACTGCTGGGAACGGGTGGGCGGGGCTAGTGGGCGCACTGCTGGGCGGAACTTGCGGGTGTCACTGCTGGGCACCGATCATCAGGGCACTGATCATCAGTGCCCTGATGATCGGTGCCGATCCCCGCTCTGACAACTGCCGGTTCTCGGCAGTACTTTCCTCACGATCTGACAGCGTGAGGAAAGTGCAGCCGAGAACCGGCACTTGCATTTCCCTGTGATCAGCGTGTCATTGGACACCGCTGATCACGTGGTAAAAGGCCGGTGGGATCGGCCTTTCACCACATCACGTGATCAGCTGTGTCCGTAGGACACAGCGATCACGGAGATCGCCGGGTGCGCGCCCCCTGGGGCGCGCAGGAGAGCGCGTTCTGGGAGGACGTCATATGACGTCCACTCAGAACTGGCCGGCCGCGGTGAAGCCATCATTCGGCTATGCGCGGTCGGCAAGAAGTTAATAAACAGAATACAGCAAGAACCCTCAGCATTAGGTTTTTTGATCTGATTAATCAGTGAGCCCACCCAGACAGTCCAGGGCCTACATAGGAATACACAAACTACATTACACATGCTGTCTTTGAGGTGTCTGGCCCCCACCTGTGCAATCTGACCATCATGAGACAAAACTCATCTGGAATTTTGTGTGAGTGGAATTAATTTATCTACATAGATTACTTGAGGGAGATTGCTGATAAATATTTCTGTCCCAAATAGAGGAGCTTCTCCACCCCAGTCCACATGAGGGCAACCATATTTCCTCTGACCATTGACCTGTACAAGACTAACATTACACCTTTCCATCCACTCTAGAAGGGAAAATGTATTGTCTTTATGCAGAGAATTATTCCAAGCCTCACCCTCAGTGTTCATCATGTTGTTGTCCATCATTAGAGAGTGATGTGCTCTCTCCATGGGCCATAATCAGTGGGTAGAAGGCTAGCCTCTAGTCCCCTCCAAAAGCCCCTGTCCTAGTTGCATCTATCACAAGTCCTATGCACAACCTTATACAACAGTCTTATTACTGAGGCCTATTTTCCACCCTGCTCTGCAACCTCCAGTTCATCATGAGCAGTACTCATAGCTCATGCTGTGCGCCAACCTCTGCCCAGCCTCTTCCATCCAACTTTATCCTGTTGTATAAGAGGCACTATCCAGCGGAAGTATTAGGGTCATGGCACCCCTTGCAGAACATTAGGACACGAAGGTCCACCACAAAGATTAGTGGGAGTCTTGGTCTTCTCCTTTTTCTTCAGTTGTTGAAACTTTTCCACCACCCTGCATTCCCCTGGTACATTGATAAATAGCTCTGCCCCATCCAATGAGAGGGAGTTAAGATTTTTTGTGCATGTGGAGTCCTCAAGTGAAGAGTCATACATTTTAAACATTTCATTCCTGACTTGATAGTAGAAACTGTACTGTACTGGCTGTTGTGTTTTGAGGTATTAGGGTTTTCATGGCTGTTATTAGATACAGTGTATGCTGTAGAACCAGTTGGAAGGCTTTATCACGGATTAAGGCTTTTCCAATAACAAATAATAGTAAGTACCCAGTAGTGGTGCTATATTAAAGAAAACAGGCACCAAACCAGTTAAGCAAAGCTTAATATATTGTCAACCAATATAGTTGACAAGCATAAAAGCATAAAATAGATTAACAATGGTAATAACACAATTTAGGATGCAAAGTGATTAACAGTAAAGACTAGGCATAAGATGACATTTGTTGTCCAGATCAGCATAAATAGTCACCTCAAGTGCAGAAGTGAGCAGTAATAAAGTTTAATCTACCAAGTGCTGGAACTATACTCTACTGCCAGAGTATTTTTATGGCTGTGATGCTAGTCCTAGACCAACTGGGTATGCACTGTCCAAAAGAAAAGGAGGATGGTAGAGGAGGGGGCAGGAGAATAAAAGGGGACTTGCAGAATAATTTCTATGGGAGGAGCAGCCCTTTGAGATGTTCTTCTGCCGGCTATAGGTGGGGCCCTTTTAGAGAGTCAGTGCACTTAACAACAGTCCCAGTTAACCTGCATTTATTGTGGGTGCAGTATAGTAATAAAAATCCTTTCTCCACTCCTCCAACTTCACAGTGTATATTGGGAAATGTAGAAACATAGAAAACATAGGAAAAACGGGGTCAGTAGGGGGCCCCATGAGATGCCCCTGGTACCTTTTTATAGGCTTTTTTGAGTTTGGGCAAGGACACAGGGGCCCCATGATCCCCTATTGCCCGGGGCCCCATGAGTTGTCAGTCCGCCGCTGCTCCCAACTTTCCCTGATTTTGAGAGACTATCCCTGATTTGGAACAAAGTGCCTCTGTCACTCTTTCCTCCTCATTTGTCCCTCATTTTGTTCTGATCTATATACAGTGAGGAACAGAAGTATTTGAACATCCTGCGGTTTTGCAAGTTCTCCCACTTAGAAATCATGGAGGGGTCTGAAATTCACAATGTAGAGACAGAATTTAAAAAAATATTCAGGAAATCACATTGTATGATTTTTAAAGAATTTATTTGTCTTGCACTGCTGAACATAAGTATTTGAACACCTGAGAAAATCAGTGTTAATATTTGGTACAGAAGCTTTTGTTTGCAATTACAGAGGTCAAACGTTTTGCTGTAGTTCTTGATCAGGTTTGTTTTTGCACAAACTGCAACAGGGATTTTGGCCCACTCCTCCACACAGATCTCCTCTAGATCTGTCAGGTTTCGGGGCTGTCGCTGAACAACACGGAGTTTCAGCTCCCTCCAAAGATGTTCTATTGGATTTAGGTCTGGAGACTGGCTAGGCCACTCCAGAACCTTGATATGCTTCTTACGGAGCCACTCCTTGGTTATCTTGGCTGTGTGCTTCGGGTCGTTGTCATGTTGGAAGACCCATACACGACCCATCTTCAATGCTCTGACTGAGGGAAGGAGGTTGTTGCTCAAAATCTCACAATAAATGGCCCCATTCATCCTCTCCTTAATACAGTGCAGTCGTCCTGTCCCATTCGCAGAAAAGCACCCCCAAAGCATGATGTTACCACTCCCATGCTTCACAGTAGGGTGTTCTTGGGATGCAGCTCATCCTTCTTTTTCCTCCAAACATGACGAGTGAAGTTTAGACCAAAAAGTTCTACTTTGGTCTTATCTGACCACATGACTTTCTCCCATGCCTCCTCTGGATCATCCAGATGGTCATTCGCAAACTTCAGACGGGCCTGGACATGTGATGACTTGAGCAGGGGAACCTTCCGTGCAATGCATGATTTGAAACCATGACGGCTAAAGTTCTACCAACAGTGACCTTTGAAACTGTGGTCCCAGCTCTCTTCATGTCATTGATCAGCTCCTCCCTTGTAGTTCTGGGCTGATTCCTCACCTTTCTTATCATCAGTGATACCTCACGAGGTGAGATCTTGCATGGAGCCCCAGTCCGAGGGAGACTGATAGTCATCTTTAGCCTCTTCCATTTTCTAACAATTGCTCCAACAGTTGATCTATTTTCACCAAGCTGCTTGGCAATTGCCCCGTAACCCTTTCCAGCCTTGTGGAGGTCCACAATTTTGTCTCTGGTGTCTTTTGACAGCTCTTTTTGGGTCTTGCCCATGGTAGTAGTTGGCGTCTGACTGACTGTGTCATGGGGTGGACAGGTGTCTTTAAAGAGCATTTGTACACTGCTGGTGAAGACCCAGGATCTTGGACACACCTAAGTTAAATTAATTGAGTGGAGTAGAGGTGGACTTTTTAAAGGCACAGTAACAGCAATTTTAAGTCTTTGAGAACCAGAATTCTTGCTGTTTCTTAGGTGTTCAAATACCTAAGTTCAGCAGTGCAAGACAAATCTTTAAAAATCATACAATGTGATTTCCTGAAATTTTTTTTTTAAAATTCTGTCTCTCAGAGTGGTAATGCACCTACAATGTTAATTTCAGACCCCTCCATGATTTCTAAGTGGGAGAACTTGCAAAATCGCAGGGTGTTCTGTTCCTCACTGTAACTATATAGATATTAAAAAAAAAATGTATCTGAAGAACAGCTGCGCAAATACAGTGTGACATAAAAAACACTTACCATTTTTTTCTCTAGGGCCTCTGCTTTAAAAAATATATAATGTTTGGGGATCTAAGTCATTTTCTAGCAAAAAATACAGTATTTTATATAAACAAATCTGTCAGAAAGGCCTGGTCTTAAAGTGGTAACAAATAACTAGGCTCACCTATTGACTGCAGAAATCATCTCTCAAGGGCTGGTGCAGTACAAACTCACCACTCATATTCACACACTATGGGATCGCCTCCAGGCAGTCTTCGGCAGCACCTCCCACTGTATGCACGATCTCCTTGCTCCATGGAGGAGAGGAAGAGGTTATTGAGGTTACATACAATGGGTGGATGGAGATGAAAGGGTTAAAGTGCAGATGTACAGGATGAGGGTTAATATACAGGTCACTGAAGGGACAGGATGGAAATTATATGTATAGGGGAGCAGAGGGGTGAAAGGGTTTACATTTTCTTGAATCGACAGTTGCCACTGATCTCTTCTGTGCTCAGATGCCTTATTAATTTATTAGTTTCACTTTCTTCTCTTCCTCTGTCATAAGAGGAAGAGGTTGGTTTAAAGATCTAAACACATTGTTTACATCATGTAATCACTGTGTTTAGTCTCTATATGATTAACTGTCTCTGTACACAGTACCTGTGAACAGCATCATCTTTGCACTTGCACTTGATGCCCGAGGGCTATTTCTAGGGCTATTTATAAATTGCACTCCAGAAATAGATGTTTACAAATCTGCCATATTTCTACAATGCAACACTAGTTTAGTGGTTACATTTTTTTTTTGCTGATTACCAAATGGCACTGTTCTGCACATGCTGGCCAGGGTCGAAGGGCTTAGAATTTATACCATATCCCTAAAATTTATACTCCAAGAAAGACTAATTGATGCAAAAAAATACTGCCAAGTTACTGAGTAAATTTAAAGTGAACTCCCTGCACTGCTGCTCTTCTCTGGCAACTTCTATTCCCAGCACAGATCCCTTATAGTTTTCTAACTATGATGACAGCTCCCCTGCTACCTCTTCTTGATTTATGCATAAATCAGTTACAATATTGTCTTAATGGACATTGCCAGATGTCTCACAAAGTGGTTGCTGGAAGTATCCATCAAACTTTTGCTGTAAGTCCCCATTA